GGCTCCGCGCTCCGCTTTGGTCCAGGACGGCGAAGAGAGCCGGAGCGAGTCGATAGAAGCCGAGCGTCGAACAATCGATGGATCTTTAGGGCGAGACCATGGTCGGACGCGGGGTGGGTGGGACGAGACCAAAGTTCTGGAGCGGGGGTCACCTCTCGTCCGGGACTAACCAGAAGAGGCCTCCGTGCTCTGGCGGCTGCTCAGCCCCGGTTAGACGAACCCAGCGGGCCCAGTCTTTGACTGCGTCCCTTTGACGCGGCTTCCTAGTTCCAGGCTTGGGTCCCAGGTGGGGTCTCGCCGTTCTCGTGCCGTCCTCGACCCCCGACTCCTCCACCGGAGCTAGAATTGCTTGGTATATTACAGGACTTCCATGACAGGTCAAGCAAAGGATTTTTATTTTATATACATATTTTAGTATAAGAATATTGCGTGGGGCATACTTATAGAGAAATCTTCAAAGAGTTCACAGAAAATGTGAGTTATGAAAAAAATGCATGGATTTCAAAATTTTTTGCACCAAAGTACACTTGTATTTTAATTCTCTTGTTTATGAACTTTTGAAGTGTCTCACTAAAAATTTATTGCGTGCTTACATAAAATTCATATTTAACCAGACAACCTGTCATTTCGTTTGGTGGATCTGATCTGTCCAGGCCCCTAAAGATCTGTCCAGCCCCCACCTAACTCTGGAGGAACCCGCTCACCCCAGGGACTCCAGAACTGCAAGCCCTCATGCCTCCTCTTCCATTCCAGCCCTCCCCACCCCATACAGGTGGCCCCACACTAGATGTGGGCTCTCCCATGGATTCCCACCATAGTCACAGATGCTGCACCCATTCCTCCAGCCCCTCAGCCAGAGCCGAGCCCCCACGTAGCCACCTAGACTTAGGGTCCCAGCAGCCCTGCCCCTCCCATTCTCTAGTCCTTTCCTTCCCACTCAGAAGCCTTTTTACATTTTTTTGAGATTTTTGCTATGTAGGGTGCACGCACTTCCAGAGAGACAGACAGAAAGGGGCCAGGGACCGCCCCATGCACACCGAAAAGGGATGGCCACACTCCAGTCTTGGGTCTTGGGTACACACTCACATGTACCTGGCATGAGGTTTTTGGGTTTTTGTTTTTGTTTTTTTGAGAGATTTTTGCTACAGGGCGCGTGCGCTCACCAGACAGACAGAGACAGAGAGACATATAAGCAAGAAATCCCCCCCCAGGGGTGATGGCCATGTCGCAATCCCTGCTCCTCCACTCTCCTCTCGGGATCTTGGGTACACACGCACACGCGTCCGGCGTGAGTTTTAAGCCACCGGATCCGGGATGTGAACCGCGGTTGACCACGTGGGAGTCCAGCGACATAGCCATTACGCTAACTGCTGGTTCCCCTGGCGTGAGTTTTAAGCCTCCAGGTCTACTGCTTGAACCACGGTCAGCCACGTGGGAGCCCAGTGCCTTAACCACTATGCCACATGCTGGCCCCTTCTTTTTACCGACGATAGAGAGCGTGTGTGCACAGGCGAGAGAAGCACCCTCAGCAGGGCCTGTCCTGCCCTTCTCTCCTGCGCCAGCTCGTCAGGGTCCTACATGCCATTAGCCTTTAAACCCCAAAGCCAACCCCCAGACTCCACACAGCTGCCATTCTCCCTCCTTCAGAGAGCTGCCCTGGCCACCCTGCTGCCTGACTTCCTCATCTCCCACTGACTCCTTGGCCCTGAAGCACGTGGTCACTCAACTGCCCTGGGACACTGTGCTTCATCCCTGACTGCCTGAGAGGTCCCCGAGGCCCTGCAGCCAGGCGCCCTGCCCACCTTTCCCCCCTCCAGCAGCTCTTACCTCCAAGCTGCCACGTGGTCCTCTTCTTTCCATTGCCTGCCTCCCCAGCCATGCAGCCTTCTCACCTGCCACGCCCACTTCTGCCCCTCGGAGCCTGGGAGCCAGACGGTGCTACCGAGGAGGTGACAGCACACTTGCTCCTGCCAATTTTTTTAAAAATTGGTCCCGTTGGAGGTGCTGTCTCTCCTCTCTTACTCATGGAAGAAAGGAACTTAAAAGCAAAATGAAGACAAAATGACAAGAGCCAGCACTCTGTCCTACCATAGCATTTAAGGGAGGAGGATCCCACACAGTTCAATTCCTGGCACCAGCAGGTTGGAAACAGCACATGTGTCCCCCAAGTCCTAACAGGATGGGCGATTAGGAAAACGGATTGTGGTGTGACCACACCCCGTCAGGGGCACCTTTTCCCTCTTCCTCTCTGTCTCTGGCAAGTGCAAACAGAACAAAACGGCCCAAAGTCCGACCTTATCACCTCATTAGAAGTCCTTCGGACCAGCAGTTAGCCTACTGGCTATGTCGCTGGACTCCCATGTAGCTGACCGCAGTTCAAGCCCCAGACCCAGTGGCTTAAACTCACACCGGGCACGTGTGCGTGCGTGCCCAAGATCCTGAGGGGAGAATGGAGGAGAAGGGATTGTGGCGTGACCATCCCCCCAGGGGGTGATTTCTCGCTCTCTGTCTTTCCGTCTCTGTCTTTCTGGTGAGCGAATGTGCCCTATAGCAAAAACCTCTCCATAATAAATAAATAAGAAAAAAAAAAGTCCTTAAGGGTCCCTGTCACTGTCCTGCTCTGGGCCTGGCCTAGACCGCAGCTTCTGCTTCTCTGTGAGCAGGCGGACCCAGCCACTTTCCTCTGCCCCTCACCTGCCATGCACCTGGTTCTCAGCACCTTTAACAGCACTTCCAGGGCTTACTCCATGTGGGCCTTTGTGCTCAGTGGTTTTGTCTTATTCACAGTTATCATTTCAAAGTGAGCAGTGGTGGACAGGGCACACAGTAGGTCAACAGTACTGTACGTGTACGGCCATGCCTGCATCTCCTCCATTCTCCTTGGGATTTTCAGCATGCACGTGCATGCACACAGTGTGTTTTTGTTTTGTTTTAAGAATTATTTAATCTTATTTATTCATTCATTCATTTATTTAAATTTGACCAGAGAGAGAGAGAGAGGGAAAGTGAGAAAGTGAGCCACCAGGTGCAGGACTCAAACCATGGTCAGCCATGTGGGAATGTTCAGTGCCTTAACCACCACGCCACCTGCTGTTCTCCTTGTTTTTGTTTTTAAGAGAGATTTTTGCTATAGGGTGTGTATGTTCACCAGACACCGAGAAAGAGGGAAAGTGAGAAACAACTCCCTGGGGGGTGGCCATGCTGCAATCCCTTCCCCTCCATTCTCCTCTCCGGATTTTGTTTGTTTGTTTGTTTTTTTGGAGAGGTTTTCACTATAGGGCGCGTGTGCTCGCCAGACAGACAGAGAGAGACAGAGAGACAGAAAGTGAGAAATCACCCCCCAGGGGCAATCCCTTCCCCTCCATTCTCCTCTCAGGATCTTGGGCACACACACATGCGCCCGGCGTGAGTTTAAGCCACCGGGTCCAGGACTCGAACCGTGGTCGACTCCGGGGGAGTCCAGCGACACAGCCATTACGCTAACTGCTGGTCCCCTCTCCAGATTTTGGACATGTATATACACCTGGCACGAGTCAAGCTGTTGAGTCTGGGACTTGAACAACAATCGACCACGAGAGACCAACACCTTAACCACTGTGCCACCTGCTGGCCCACACCCAGTGTGTTTTTCTTTTCTTTTTTTTCTTAATGACTTTTCCAACAATCTATATTTACTTGTGATTTTTTTTTTTGAGAGGTTTTTGCTATAGGGCGCGTGCGCTCGCCAGACAGAGACAGAGAGACAGACAGTGAGAAATCACCCCCCAGGGGGGATGGCCACACCGCAATCCCTTCTCCTCCATTCTCCTCTCGGGATCTTGGGCACGCACGCACACACGCCCAGCGTGAGTTTAAGCCACCGGGTCTGGGACACGAACCGCGGTCGACTACATGGGAGTCCAGCGACATAGCCATTACGCTAACTACTGGTCCCTTTACTTGTGATTTTTAAGCTGCTATGTCTGTGACTTCAAACCATGGTCAGCTATGTGGGAATCCAGCATCCCAACCACTATGCCACCTGCTGGCTCCTCCCAGTGTGTTTTTCAAGCCAACAGGTTAGGGACTCAGAGAGTGTAGTCAGCACGCGGGATCCAGCACCTCGACCTCCACACCACCTGCTGGCCCTAACCTACTTTCTGCATCTATGTATCTGCTTATTGTGGGCATTTCGTATGAATGAAGTAATAGAACATATGGCTTTTCATATCTGATTTCTTTCATTTAGCATACCTTTTCTTTGGTAAAGTTTTTTGCCATAGGGCACATTTGTTTGTCAAAGAAAGACAGAAAGAGGAAGAGGAAGAAATCACCTTTCATAGGGATGGCCGTACCAAAATCCCTGTTTCTCCATTCTCCTCTTGGGATTTTGGGCATGCACACACATGTATCTGGTATGATTTTCAGACTGCCAGGTCGGGGACTCAAACCACGGTCAACCATGTGGGAATCCAGCACCTTAACCCCCACATCACCTGCTAGCCCCACATTAAAAAAAAAAAAGTATTTAACTTTATGTATTTTAATTTGACCAGATAGGGACAGAGAGAGAAAGCGAGAGAGAGATGGAAAGGGAGAAAGCAAGTCGCCAGGTCTGGGACTTGACCCATGGTCAGCCATGTGGGAACCCAGTGCCTTTAACCACCACACCA